TTAATGTATAGCCAAGTTTGTAAAATCAACAACAACACTGACCCAACCATTGCTAAGTTTGTCGTTGCTGGTTTTACATGAATCCTTAAAGGATGGTGGGACAATGTCCTCACTGACATTCAGAAAGCTGAAAACTTTTCTGCTACCAAGCTTGTTAAGGACGAAGCTACTCAACAATCAGGACCTGCTCCAGATGCGGTTTATACCCTCATCACCACCATAATCCAACATTTTGTTGGCCCTGAAGGTGCTAATAGTGAACGCAGTCGTGAACTTCTACAGAATCTAAGATGTCCATCTTTAACTCATTTTCGGTGGTATAAAGATGTATTCTTGGCAAAAAGGTTCTCCAACTCAATGATGCAAATCATGAGCACTGGAAAGCCAAATTTGTAGATGGTTTACCAACTTTCTTTGCTGAAAGAATCAGGAAAAAGCTTAGAGATATGAATAATGGTATCTCTATCCCTTACAGAAACTATACCTATGGTGGATTAGTCAACATTGTAATCCAAGAAGGTCTAGCTTTCTGTAATGATCTGAAGTTACAATCCCAGTTAAAATCACAAAGATTAACTGGTAGAAAGGAAGTAGGTGAATTTTGTGATCAATTTGCCTACCAGACTCCCTTATCTTATCCTAAACCTAGGAAAAGAAATAAGGTTGAAAAACCTTATAAAAGGAAGTATTCCAAAAGAAAGAATTATTCAAAGGAAAAGGATAATTCTAGACAGTACACTAAGCCTAAAAGGAAATATATTCCTAAAGCAAAGGGTAAAGGAAAGCCCAAAGCTGAGGCTAAATGTTTCAAATTTGGACGTATCGGCCACTATGCAAACAAGTGCAGAACTAAGGAGAAACTCAGTAGTCTTCACATAGAAGAAGAACTGAGACTTCAATTAAGTAAATTATTACTTAATACTAGTTCTTCTGAATCTGAATCATCAAGTGATTATGGAGATGTTGTTATGGAATTACAGTCTTCTTCTTCCTCTGAAGCAGAGATTGGAAACCCTAGATGTTCCTGTAATCCCTCTCATGATGATTATTATAAGGCAATTGTTGAGATGAATGGGTTAAGCTTAAATGTTTTGACTTCGACTCAACAATCCTTATTGGATCTTATAGATCATATCCAGGATCCTCAAATCAAGATGAAAGTCTTTGAAATAGGTTCTGCTCTGGCACGATCTAATGAGGATACGGATAATCCAGATTTTCTGAGAGCAGAAAATCATTACAGCATGAAAGAAGTTCTAAGCAGATTAGAACACCAAGGACAAAATTCTCGTCCTGCTAATCTCTCTGATCTCAGAATGGAGATTAATCTTTTAAAAGAAGAAATTCGTCAATTAAAGTCTCGTCAGACTAAGATGGATTTGGAAATTTGTAGTGAAATTCCTAATGCTTTTTGGGCCAGAAAGAAGCATATTGTTTCTTTACCCTATAAAAAGGGATTTACCGATCGCATGATTCCTTCTAAAGCTAGTCCCAGCCACATGAAAGCTGACTACCTGGAATTATGTAAAACTGAAATCAACTCTTTAATGGCAAAGAAGCTTGTTACTACTAGCTACTCCCCCTGGAGTTGCAGAGCTTTTTATGTCAATAAAAATGCTGAAAAAGAACGAGGAATTCCTCGATTGGTTATTGATTATCGGCCACTCAATCTTGCTTTGAGTTGGATCCGGTACCCAATTCCCAACATCAAAGATCTTTTAGATAGGTTACAATCTGCTGTAATCTTTTCTAAATTTGATCTTAAATTTGGATATTACCAGGTATAGATTGCAGAAGAGGACAGGTACAAAACAGCTTTTTGTGTACCTTTTGGACAGTATGAATGGACAGTGATGCCATTTGGATTAAAAAATGCCCCTTCAGAATTTCAACATATTTTGAATGACATATTTAATCCGTTTACTGAATTTTCTATAGTTTATATTGATGATATTCTCATATTTTCCAAATCAATAGATCAGCATTATAAACACTTGAAAATTTTTAAACATGTTATTTACCGAAGCGGTTTAGTAGTTTCTGCTCCTAAACTAAAACTGTTTTTAACTAAGGTCAGATTTCTTGGTCTTGAAATTTGTGATGGAAAAATTAGACCTATTAACCGCAGTATTGAGTTTGCTTCTAAATTTCCCGATGAAATTAAGGATAAAACTCAGCTTCAAAGGTTTCTAGGTAGTTTGAATTATATTCGAAATCACTACAGAGATCTTGCACAGGATACAGCAATTTTGTACACCAGGTTAAGGAAATCTCCTTCTCCATGGACTTTGGAACACACCAAGGCAGTCCAGAAGATTAAACTCAAAGCAAAACAAATACCTTGCTTAGCTCTAGCCAATTCTTCATGGTTCAAAATTGTGGAAACAGACGCCTCCAATATTGGATACGGTGGTATTCTTAAATAGAAAAATCCAAACACAGGAACAGAGGAGCTTTTTCGCTTCACTTCAGGAACTTGGAAAAATGCACAATTAAATTATTCAACCATCAAAAAGGAAATTCTTTCTTTGGTTAAATGCATTTATAAATTCCAAGATGATTTAATCAATCAGAAATTCTTGTTACGCATTGATTGTAGTGCGGCTAAACAAGTACTGGAAAAAGATGTAAAGAATTTAGTCTCCAAACAGATATTTGCTGGTTGGCAAGCTGATTTATCTGCTTTTGATTTTTCTATTAAATATATTAAAGGCAGTTCTAATTCTTTACCTGATTTTCTAACTCGTGAATTTTTGCAGGGTTCATGAATCCGCCCCCACATGGGCAGGGCCGGGGTAATACTCCAAAGACTCGTGGCAAAAACAAGGCTAAGGCCAAAGTGGTTCTACCACTCACTGAGGATCAATTTCCATATTTGGAGCATGTTGCTGATCTGCTTAACACACCTTCTAAAGGAAGCAGCAGTACCCAGCAAAAACAACAGAAACCAACCATGAAAGAGGTTCTTGAACAAGAAACTCCATGGATACCTAATCAAAGGTATATTCAAACAGTATTGGTACTGGATTCTCAGGATGAGCAATGGATGCCAGATCCTTGGGAAGTAAAATCCAGATATTTCCAAACTCAACAATATGCTGCACCGGATGGTCGCCATAGATATATCTATAAAGCTATTCAGTAACTTCCTCTGTGGAGATCAACCACACGAAGCAATTTCCGAATTCCAAAGATAGTCCTCTTACTTATAGTAAAGCTATCTTTAAGAGGCTTATACGGCCTAGTGACTGGGGATTAAATCCTAATTTGCCAAGGAAAATATCCTATGGTCACAGTTACAATTACTGGGATTATATCTCAGCTTGGACATATTCGTTCTTTTATCAAAATCCGAAGCATAAGCATTCTTGGTTTTTCAAGATATGCCCTCAATCAGTTAAGACCGATTTCCCAAACTGGGTTATACCCTGGTGGGCTATATTTGGCCCTGATCTGGATATATTGCCCGAATCAGTCAGACAATTATACTTGCCATGGCAACAATTTCATCCTCAATTACGGGGACAGGATAATGTTCCTGTAGGGAAATCCACCCTATTGTTCTTTACTGAATTTGGAATCCCTTGGATTTGGAAATGGGATTTCCAATGTGGTTATACCACTGACAAGTTACCAGTCCTTCAGAGGATCTTTTATTACAGATGGTGGTCAGGCATGACTCAAGATCCTATCCAAGCCCTCCTCCATCAGATCAGAAAGAAAACACTGGAATACATGGATAAGATTCCAAAGTTAACTATTCCAGAACCCGAAATCTTTAACCCATTTGAACTTGTTAAAGATATGATCCGAAAACAACAACCATTAATTACCGAAGCTGATTTAATGGTTAAATGCATGGATTTTATGAGGACTAAATTTGTTAAATCTTTTGATTCCTCCACACCTACAGTACGAGATGATGCATCCATGGTGTCAGTCTCTAGCCAGACCAGTCAAGAAGGTAATAAGTTTTCCTGTCTAGCTGGTTATGCTCAAGATCCCAATGACGATCTTATTTCTGAAGATGAGCCTACAGTAGCCGACTATTGGGACTCTCTTACCAGTCACTTGATGGACAAGATGAATCCACCTAAAAAGTAAAAGATTCCTCTTATCCTGCCGACAGAAGAAGCCAAAGAACTTTTTCCAAAAGTCTTTGGTTCTACAGTATTTCCTTCATCAGATATCCACTTTCCATCCGATGAGGAGACAGAACTTAGTGGTGGGCCGACCGACTGCATTATTCCAGCACACGATCCCATGCACTATGCGGACTTCAAAATGATAATTTCAAGTCCATTTTATGTATAAATAGAGGGTAAAGTTTCCCTTCAATGTATCTTTCAATTTTCTTTTCTCTCTTTTGTAATATTTCTCTGTACTAGCTTGGAAGTTCAATAAAGAAGTTTTCTGTAAGTCTATTTACATTATTCACAGTTCTTATCAATAGTTCTATTGTTTATATTTGTATTACATTATATTTATAGTGGAAACAGTAGCAATATGCAATAATCTGAAAATAATCTTGGGAAAATATTTTACCTTCTAAATTAGCTACAACTTAGCCATTAAAGGTCTGATTCAGTATTTGAACTTTCCCTCGTCCTTTTATAAAATAAAGACTGTTTGACCACATTACTAATTCACCATTTTTCGCACCAAGAAAACATGAACTTTTCTGATGCATGATAGAGGTGCTCTAATAATTCACCTTTTCATTTTTTATTTAACAGTGATTAGTCGTGCAATTTATATACTATATTCTTGTGGCACTCAACCACTCCATATAAGAAGACAATAATAATGATTGAATAAATAGATTCGCAAAGATTTTCTATGAAAGAGATGTATCATGTATGGTAGATATATAATAATTTTGTGTGCCATAATTGCCCCATTCCAAGTGTATATTTAAATTGATTCACTCAACAACATAGACTGTAAGAAGAAATCTAGCTAGCTTTGGAATCTTCTTACATTCTTGAAAAATTATTGTCATGGAAAACGCAAAAGCATTGCTCAATCACTCTTCTCATTCTCTAAAACGCTTACTAGATCAACTTCCTAAGCAATGCTTTTGGGATGATCTCGATCTCCATCAATGGGAAGGTTTTTGGTATCGACCCGCTCACTTAGAAGCTGCAACAGTGATTCGATCACACTTTGAAGCACGCGATGACGATGTCATATTGGCGTCACACATTAAAGCAGGTACAAATTGGCTCAAAGCTCTTTGTTTTAGTATCATGCTACGCAAAAATGGTGCCGGTAACGACGAAGAAGAACAGGACCCTCTTGTCAATATCATTCCCTTCTTATGCATAAAAACATTAGAGGTCCACGTTTACGAACCAAATCCGTCACGCAATCTCTTAGGTATGCCATCTCCTAGAGTATTTCATACTCACTTGCCATACAGTGCCTTACCAGATTCAATTAAGAATTCCAAGTGTAAGATTGTTTACATTACTCGGAATCCGAAGGACACCTTGACGTCCATGTGGCATTTTTTTAATACTCGGAGGACACCTGAACAAGGCATCTATCCATTTGAGAAGGCCTTTGAGAGCTTTTGTGATGGGGTTCACCCTTTTGGACCTTTCTTTGATCATGGCTTAGAGTATTGGAAGCAGAGCTCAAACATGCCTCACAAGATACTATTCTTGAAGTATGAAGATCTTAAAAGTGACCCAAAAGGAGAGTTGAAAAGGCTGGCCTCATTTCTTGGAAAGCCATTTGTTGATGAGGATGAGAATATTATTGATAAGTTGTTGTGGAGGTGTAGCTTGGAGAGGCTCAAGAACTTGGAGGTGAACAACATTGGTTTGGAGCCTACGTCCGGGATTCCAAATAGTGCATTTTTGAGGTGTGGTGTTGTCGGGGATTGGAAGAACTACTTCACCACCGAGATGAAAGAGCGCCTTGATCAAATTACTTTGATGAAATTCGAAGGATCTGGCCTTGAATTCGAGACATAAAGGATTTGGAGGAATTTGATCCAACTATTACTATCCTTGAGCCAAATAAACTACTTTGTTGTTGCTATTCAGCTCGAGTAGAAAATGTTTGAATAAAAAGTTGTTGTTCTACGGATAATCCCATTAGATTGGTATCCTTGTTTTGTAATTTGATGTATTGCTATGTAAGTTCCCCATGTGTGTTTATTTCAATACAACGACAGTACTCTTTTCTTCCAATATAGCTTTTCTTTTCAGCTAATTCATTTTGTTTCACCAGAAGCTAATTAAATAGCTAATCCAACTTTAAATCTAGTAACACCAATGAGCCATTTTCTTGTGTAGAAGTTCTATAGTTCCTTTCAATTATAAGTTTCTAACTTTCTCTTGGGTTATGTCAGCAAAATGGCATGGAACTTGCTTGAATACGAATTTGCTAGAGCACTTAGATCAATTTTATTTTATATAGAGGAAAAGCATAAGAATAGTCTTTTTTAAGTTCGATTATATGAAATATGATTATAGATTATATAAATGAAAACTAATTAATACAATTATTCATTGATTTAATATGATGGAGATGAAAGAAAATAAAATTATATAAATATAGACAAATAAATTATATAGGGATAATTACAAAAACATGGACTTTTGGAGGTCTTTTACAAAGTCATGGAGTCAAAACCAACCTTTTTCACAGGCCTTTGCTGAAACTGAGGTAGATGAGGAAAAACAGCATTTATTTGTCCAAACTAACCTTAGGATTTCTAGTACCACTTTTGGACCTAGATGGGAGTAAGGAATGGGAAAGGTCACCCTATCTTACCCCATTTATGCTGATAAATTATAATTTTTATTCTTATAATATATCTAGATTATTCTATTTCAATCCGACAAGACTACCGCCATTCAACCCACCTCTCTCACAAATTGCATATCTCTTTGCACCGCTCTCTTCTCATACCGTAAATTCGACTCATAACGTAAATTTGAAAGACGAGAGAACAAACTAATAATTGAAACCCTCTTTTACAATGTTCTTACATTGGAATTGCTAAGAGTCTCAGCAGCGAAACAATGGACAAATCCAAAATCGGCGATCTTTGGGATGGACAAGGATCCTCTTCAGGAAAGGAGAGGTTTTGCACACCCACCAACTATTGGTTTGGACTTTCCCACTAATAATGATGTCATATCAATGGTTGGTGGGTGTGCATGACCAGACTTGGATCCTCTAAATAAAATCTCCTCTAAGTTATCCTAAGTTGGCCGATTGACACGTGACATTTAAAATCTATCTATTGCTTATTTTAAATCACGTTAACTAATTTAAAGAAAGTTTGAAAACTACACTATTTTGAGAAAAGAAAAACTTACCAAAGTTTGAAAACTGCACTGTTTTGAATAAAAAAAAAATTTTCCATACTTTAACCACGTTAACATCGTTCTCTCTCCCTCTTCTTTTCTGAAAAAGATATCTCTCCTTTCGCTCATTCCCACGATTGGGGAAATATTTCATGCCAAAAATGAATGTTCTTTCCCACTATTTTTGGCGCCTATAAGCTCTAGTTCACTCTCTTTTTAAATCTAAATTGCAAAATTCCTCTTTTTTTAAAAAAAAATTAAACTGTAAAATCGCTCTAGTTCACTATCTTTTTTTGAAATCTAAATTACAAAATTTCTCTCTTTTTTAAAATTTAAATTACAAAATCCATTATAGAGACTTTTAATTTGCACATTTATTTTTGGCGCAAAATATTCTCCTAATTGGGAAGCAAAAGGAGAGAGAAGGAGGGATCTTTTTCGCAAAAGATGAGGGAAAGAGAACGACGTTAACGTCATTAAAATATTATGAATTTTTCTTATTTCAAATTGGTACAGTTTTTAAAATTTGATAAATTTTCATTATTTCAAGACGGTATAATTTTCAAACTTCCTTTAAATTAATTGACGTGGTTTAACACACATAAATAGATTTTAAATGTCAAGTGTTATTATGCAGAGAATGTAAACTATAATAATTCGTGTTAAGTCATTAATCACAAATTTACATGAATCCCATATCTTAGAACTTCATAATTTTCACATATCTATAATACATAAATAAATACTAGTTAGATATAAATACCTCGATTCATAGTATAAATTCTTGTTGAGATTAAGTCCAACGTCCAGATCCTTTGGCCATGAACTAATCTGCAACTCTGATCAACATGCAAAGGTGGAAACTGGTTTCTCTCTCTTGGCCTTTTGCACACATAAAACTTTTACGTATTGTTTCATTAATTGTACATAAATGATGGAGTATATGCACTTTTATAAAGGCAGAGAGAGGACCAGTTTTCCTTATAGTAACATAATTCTACTTTCCATCAAAGTAAGGAATAAGAAAGGAAAACACTCCTCCAATAAGTAATTACCAAAAAGGTAATTATAAGTTGACCAAAAATAAATAATATTAATTGATATCTATTTACTTACCGACCAAGTAATATGTCACATGTCCAAATCATGTGGGCCACAATTAAAAAAATAATTTTACATTCTCCCACTTGGCATATATGATAATTTCTGTAGTGGTTTACTAAAATAGTTATTAATGTGCACTATAAATCAGATTAACTCATTAAATTGGTCATCATAAATACCATGGTAAATAAATTACCAATGCGAGTCATGGCGGTTAAATATCCTTAAATGACACAGTCCCTTCCATGTACCACAACACTAGTAATCTATTCAACATAGTCTATAAATGAGAAGTATCAATAATGATCTAATAATAATGTCTTTTCCAAGACTATTCCTATTACCACTTATTAAAGCAATACATACATGTACATTAATTAATAGGAAATATCATAAACACATTTAATCAGCGCAAAATGTCAAATATATATAAGCACTATTTAAGCAATTCACAATTAAAAAATAATCATCATTGACTACATTTAAGATCCATTCTTTCAACATGTTCCATAAATGTCTTGGATGGTAGTCCATTCATTAATGGATTGCAATCATAAGTTGTGTGCTTCTAATTTCAATAGACATTCGTTGTTTCTAAATATCTTCTTTAATGATAAAGTATTTCAACTTTAGAATACCTATCATTTTTCATACAAGAAGATCAACAATTGCAGTATAAATTTTCAGCAATCTGAAAACGGTACCCATAACTCCAAGTCCTGAAATAAATTCTGCAACCATAAATTATAGCTTCAAAGCATGCTACAAATTAAAATTTCATAATAGACAAAGTAATCATAAATTACTTTGCACTTTTTCATAATATTGTTCCTCCAACCAAATCTTCTAGAACTCTTTTAATATATGCTTTATGAGACAATTCTAAAAACAAATCAATGTGATCTATAATGAAATATTTCTATTCCTATCACATAGGATGCCTCATCCATATATTTCATTTCAAAGTTCTTAGAGATAACTTTTAGTTGTATATAATAAACTAAGATCACTACTAACAAATAAAATATCATCAATATATAGAATCAGAAATATAAACTTACTCCCACTAACCTTCTAGCATATACACTGATCAACAGTGTTTTTTTTAAAACCAAAAGAAATAATGGTATCATTAAACTTAATATACCATTGTTAGGAAGCTTGTTTAAATCCATATATTGACATCTTAAGTTTACGGACCATGAATTCTTTACCCTCTAATATGAAGTCTTCAAGTTGTTCCATATGGACTTCCTCTTATAAACTCCTATTCATAAAAATTGTATTCACATCCATTTGATGTAACTCTAAATCATAATAAGGTACTAATGCCATGATATTTTAAAAGATTCCTTCTTAAATACTAGAGAGAAGATTTCTTTATAATCTCTTCATTCATGGCACTAATCCATTTAGTAAAATCATTACTGTTAATGGCTTGTGAATATGTAATCGGATCCGTATATATCTCACTATATATCAAAATCAGATTCTTGCAGATATATCACATAGTCATCCGGAATAGCAGATCTCCTTTATCTTTGAGATCGTCTTAATGCTATTTCTTATGATTCTTCTATAACCTATTCATTGGTGACAATCTCATTATAGAGTTGTTGATTATTTAATTGTTCTTCGTTGTTATACGGTTCAACAACTGAAGGAACAATTATTTCCTTATAAGTTATGGGTAAAGATATTTGTACCCTAACTTCTGAAATGATCAAATTCTTATTTTTATCACTCCCACTGATTTCACCATTCTTAATAAATCTGACATTAGCAGTTTCAATAATTATCGTACTATGTTTCGAATAGTAAAACTTGTATCCACAACATTAAGGGTAACGAGGAATTACTTAACATACTCCTAACCAATTCCATAAGAGTACGATTACGCCTTACAGCTACACGCTTTTGCTGTGGCATGTATAGCAAAGTGTATTATTGAACACAAATGGCATACATTTCAAGGAGTTTAACAAACGATTAGAGTATTAACCTGTTTCATCATACTTTACATAATATTCACCACCTCTATATGACCTTATGATTTTCACTTTCTATCTAGTTGTTTTTCAACCTCATTTATGTATACTTCAAGGGTACCTACTGCTTGAGATTTTTCATACAACAAATAGAAATATCCATAACATGAAAAATGAACTATAAAGACAATAAAATACTTTTCTACTCCAAAAGATGGAACATTAGAAGGTCTACAAATAATTTCAAGAAGCTATGTACTTATTGTGGCTCATTTCTTTGTGCGTTTAGTTTGTCTACCCTTAATACAATCTACACACACATCAAAATCAGTAAAGTTTAGATTCAGAAGAATCACATCCTTTACTAATTTTCCTAACCTTTCACTAGATATTGACCTAGTCTTTTATGCCAAAAATAAATTTTCTATTAATTGAGCTACGCTTAATTCTAACATTATGATACAAGATCAAAAGGATTTTAATAAATAAACCATCAAATTTGAATTTACAGAAATTATCAACAATAATATCATAACTCACAAATTATAATTTCTTAAATAAATATCATTACCAAATTTAAATGAAAAACCATTAACATAAAGTTTTTGAAATAAAATCAAATTATGGGAAATTGAATAAACATAAAAATTTTAAAATAATTTAAATAAAATTCATTATCTAACATTAAACATAGTGTCATAATGGTTTCAACAAAACTTTTTCCCAATCATCA